CACGGAGAAAATAAAATAGTATGTATATATATATATATATATATATATGCACCTTTGCACCTTCGAGAATCCCGGCGAAGGTTAGTCAAACTTAACGATCTCTAATCTCCATTTTATACACGCTGCACATTGGAAATCGCACGGAATCGAGTGCATTTTTTCAACGCGGTTCAACAACACCCTCCATGCGAACGAAATCGGATCATCGTTTATCTGGAAAACGCTTATCTAAAAAAAAAAAAAAATCGAATCGATATTACGAAATGTACAATTCGGGATCGACGCTTAAGAAAATAACACGCGACGGTAATAATAATGATAACGCGACGCGAACGGAATTGGATCGGACGGTTAATGATAAAACGACGAAAGATGGGGGCCGGTTAAATCCTCAACTCGGCGTCGGTAACCGGTATACCCCTGTTGGCACTTTGACCGGACCTTTGGGTGGCGGGTGGGACCAAAGGGCTGATGCTGGGACTTCTGGTGGCGAGAGGGGAGAGGGATGGGGAAAAGCTGGGGCTGAGGGCGGCCGAGGGGAAGGTGGACGCGTCGTGGCTGATGGGAGATCTGGGCAGGATGCCTCTGGCCAGCGCGGGGGCTGCTAACGACCTGGGGGCAACGGAGGTGAGCAAGGCGGGGGCGGAGCTTTATGTACAGACTTCGTCTTCCCGCTGCTCCCCGAATTCCCGCTCTGGACGCTCGCGGCGTCGTCCTTCAGCCTGGCGATCTCGCTGAACACGTGGGCCAAGGGTTGGTAATGGGGGCCCCAGTCGAGCAAGTAGTCCCAATTGTACGATCCCGTCAACTCCTCCTCGCTGTGCACGATCGAGCTCAACGAGCCGTTCATGGACGGGCCGCCCGGAACTTCCAAACCCGACATCGGCCTGCCAGCCTCCCCGATCTTCCCGTAGATCAGGGTGGCGATGTCCGCCTCGGTCGCCGCCTCGTCCTCGAACAGGTGCAAGCTGTCGAGGGGTAGGGCCTCGGGCGGCCGCCTCGGGGTGCCGGCCGGCGGATCCACTATCCCCAACCTGGCCAGGTACTCCTGGGTGTTGTGCACCGAGAGATCGCTGGCCGAGTCGCCCGTCTGCTGTCCCTCGTTTATCATCCGAATCTCCTCGTCCTCCCCGTCGTCCTCCGCCGACCCCCTCCCCGACGATCCCGACTGATCGCTGCCCGACAACTCGGACGTGGCTTGCTGCTGCCCGGATTGGCCCGAGGTCCCGTACGGCGGGATCTCGTCGTATTTCGGGGGCGCGAATTGGCACGACGCCCCGCCACCTCCCCCGTTCCCGTTCCCCCCGCCCCCGTTCCCCCCACCGCCCACGCTCCGGATCGGGATCGTGTCGAACGCGCTCGGATCCACGTAGCTGTTGGACGCGGTCGCGTTGCTCTCCCCGTTCAACCCGGGCTTGGCCCCGGCCTTCTTGTGCCTCCGGTTCCGAAGATGAAGGTAGAGGAAAACGGCACCGAACGCGACCACCAGGAGAAGCAGAGCGATCAATAAACCCAACGCCCAATCGGCCAATCCGCCCGACGTGGCAACCGCCATGTTGCTTCCTCCTCCGTTCTTGTTGCTCCTGCTCTTGTTCCCGTCCTCCTCCTCGCCGTCGTCGTCGTCGTCGTCGTCGCCGTCGCCGCGATTCGCCGAAGCGTCCGCGGCCGTCGCCGCCACGTCGTTCGGCGAACGGACGTGACGCCACCTCCCCTCCCTTCGTCGCTCTCGTCGGTCAACGTGATCTCGACCACGGTCATGTTGGACAACGAGCCCTGCCTGCCGGAGCTCGCGCTCACCACCAATCTCGACGACTCCTCCACGTCCATGTCGAGGTGCAACAACTTCTGCTTCACGATCAACGCGCCCGTCGTACGATTCAACTTGAAGTAGGGGTGTTGGGAGGTGAGCTGATAAACCACCCTCCCGTCGGGCCCCTTGTCCCGATCCGTCGCCGTCACGTGCCCGATCACAGTCCCGGCCATTATCCGGGCCCCGCTCCTCATCCCGAACCTGTACATCCTCTCCGTGAATTGGGGATAGAACTCGTCCCTCGACTCGATCTCCACCCTCACCCTGACCGCCGCCGTCCGACCGCCCGTGTCGGTCGCGCGCAGCGTGAACGCGTACCGGTTGCGCAGCTCGTAGTCGAACACGGCGCGGGTCGTCACCGTGCCCGATTTCCCGTCCACGGCGAACAATCTCCAACTGTCGTCTATGTCGGAGAAACCGGTGGCCGCGGCGGACACGATCGAATAGTTCAACGAGCCGAATATACCGCGATCCAGGTCGGAGGCACGGGCCGAGAACACTGTGGTCCCGATCGGCTCGTTCTCCCCGACGAACTCGAGATACTCGGGGACCGGGAATTTGGGCGAGTTGTCGTTCACGTCCTCGAGGCGGACGCGAAGCCTGGTCAAGGCGCAGAGGGGCGAGTCAGGGTCCGTGTCGCAAGCCATCACCACGAGGTTGTGAACGTCCGGCTCGAGGTCGCAGTCCAACGTGGCGTTCACGAGCACCGCGCCCGTGCTCCTGTCCACCCGGAACAGGCCACCGTCGTTCCCCGACGTGATCTCGTAGACGAGGGTGGCGGCCGGTGTCCCCGCGAGATCCTCGTCGTTGGCGCGCAACACGGCCACCGTAGCGCCCCGCGCCGCGTTCTCCTTGATCGACACTTGGTGCACGTCCTCCGTGAAACGGGGATAATTGTCGTTCGCGTCCTCCACGGTGACGATCACGGTCACCGGCTCGTCCCCGACCAGGGATCCGGTCGTCGTGCTCTCGTTCTTCGACCCTAATCGTAAAACGTATCTGAAAAAGGAGGAAAGGGAAATCACATCGGTCAAAACACACGGCCGAGGATTTTTCGGGAGTAGGAAAATCAACTTGTATCCTTACTTGTCCTTCGTCTCCCTGTCCAACGGTTTGGACAGGATCAACTTTCCCCTGGACACCTCGAACGTTCCACCGTCGTCGCCGGCCACGATGCCACCGTCCAATAGATCCACGTCGGACAATCTCATCAGAGCGGTCCCCCTCCAAGTGTTCTCCTTGGCGGTGATCTTGTACTCCTTGCCGGGCGAGTTGCTCTTCAAACTGGTCAATCGTACGACGACCGAGCACACGGACGACGCAGGCGGTTTCCCGTAATCCTCCGCGACCACTGCCAACTCGACCTCTTTGGGCAACGGCCTCGGTATCGCGGTACGATTCACCGTCACAACGCCGGTCACGGGATGCACCGAGAAACCTTTGGTGGCTCTCAGCAGATGGTATCGCACCCGACTGTTCTCCTCCGTCAGATCGTCGTCGGTCGCGTTCACCGTCACGATTTCTTGCAACTCTCCTCCTCGTCCCTCTGCTCGAAAGAGACGGAGAAAAAGAAAAAAAAAAACAGAAGATAGAGAGAAGAACGACGACGACGACGACGAAAGAGCGAGGGCGAGAAAACGGGGTGGTGGGGGAGAGGAAGGCGAGTAATACGCACGCATAACACGATGTCGGGAAATCGATCGATCGATCGGTTCGTCGTAACGAAACGAAACGAAACGAAACGAAAGAGAAAGATTAAAGCCAAAAAGATGGAAGAGGGAGAGGGATCGAAAGATGGAGGGATCACGGGCACGGGGTCGAGGTACTTCCCCTCCCTATCCCCTTCCCTTCGTCTCTTTTTGTCGGAGGTAGCGTCACGTCCTCGAGCGGAACCACCACCACCACCACCACCACCACCACCACCACCGCCGCCACCACCACCGACGAGGTTTCTTTCTTTTCTCGGTAAAGGAGAGGAGGATAAGCCGTCCTGACATCGGCCTGAACGGAAGTATGAAATAATAACCAGTTATATAAATCGCTGGTCCGAGCCGTGGGGCCAGCAGGACGGTGAGCCAGGTTCGCGGCTACAAAAATCATTTCGATGCGTTTCAAATCGTCGGATAACTCGGCATTAATGTGCCAAGTTCCGAGGTAAAGCGAAAAAAGAAGAGGAAAAGGAGGGGAGGAAGGGGGACAAGAAGAGGAGGAGGAGGAGGAGGAGGCTGAGATAAAACTCGCAGCCCTTTGGGGAGGATGTCCGCGAGGAGGCGAGGAGGAGAGGTAAGACGCACCTCCCCCCGGAGGAAAGGGGATCTTAACCGAGAAAGTGAGAGACAGGTTACTCTATAATTATCGCGAGGTGCGTATGATCGTGGAGTTATATACGCGCATCGCATCGACGTCTTATAACACGAACGAGGAGGGAGAGGGACGAATTCTCTTTTCGTTTCGTCTCGCTTCGCTTCGATTCAATTTAATAATACTCGGTATCTCGACCATGATCGTTCGTTCGTTTGCCGCGACAACGCGATAAGTTTCCACGACCGTTATCTCCCTTTCCCCTCCCCCCCCTCCCCTCCCTCCTACG